TTAAGATTAGTCTTAACCTTTTTTTCTTTTGATAAGGTAAAGTGTAAGATTAGTATTAACTATTACCTTATATAAAAAAAATTAAGATTAGTCACACGCTCTTAAAATTTCAAACTGGGAACCTCATTTCAGAGTAAATAGAACAACTGCACAGATCTAACAGATGTAGATGAAAATGCCATTTTATCCTCATTCCTGTGTCAACAGTCAACTAACATGTCGGCAGATTGGCTGAATGGATTTTATCAGGTTTCAAAGACCAAATGAAAACATATGATGCATTCTTAGTAAACAAAAATAACTGATGGAGGACTATATTATACCTGGGTAGCAGTCCGAGGTCCATATACAGGAGAAAGACCTTTTGACTCCAGAACTGTGAAATACACCTCATCTCTCGATAACAGTAGGTGTGCACAATAGCTTTCAAGAGGCTCCGCACTACCAAAAATCATCTGGTTGAATGAGCAAAGGTCATTAAAAGAACAATGAATGTCGACGTCATAAGTTCCAGATGGATTACCTCAGCCAGTTCCTGAACTGTTACGGATTTATTTTTCTCCACAAGCTCATTCCATGCAAATTCAAGTAGTGCTGTGTCCTATCAGTGGCACTCAAAAAGTCAATACTTATCCTAAAAAGGGTAGAAAATTCTATATTTTGTCTCTTTATCGATTAGCAACTGCAAATTTCCTTTAAAAACAGCAAGAAGAACCAACCAAGTTATCCTGAGCTTTCTGAACAAAATCTGATATTTCTGTGGGCTCAAAGTTTTCAGCACCAGGAACAATAAAAGTTACTTGCTGTGGCTTAATGGAGGTCGTAATCCCATTCTGCATCATCAAAAACCAAATAATGTGCATCAGTGCCTAAGCGGAAAATAAGCCTAATAAACTAGTAAACGAACTCATTAATTTGTTTTTGAGTTTAAGGTCTATGTATTGACAGTATAAAACAATATTTACATCAGGTCACTTAAAAGATAATTGTAAGTAATCCAATATAACTCAATATGAAGCAGAAAGGTGTTCCTTTAAGCCCTAAAGTCGTCCGCTTTCTCACCGGTCGCAGAAAGTCTTTTAAGAAAAAGCTTTCGATCGAGAAAGATGGGAATTTGTGAAAGCGGGCTTATTGCAAACATTGATTGATAACCTAGAATAAATGATAGGTAACATATTATAATAGGCTAAACTACATTGATGGTGTATTAAATTCACCTGATCAGAGACCATCCAATTCTTTTTGCCATCAGGTTTAAGAGCAACTGCTAGCAACACCCTTTCAGAATCCTTCTTGAACTCCAGCAGTAGTCCTTTCTGTAGTGTTCCTTTTTTCAACTTGTCCTCAAGAAGTTCTCCTGTGCTTGCTAATTCCAGCCTATAAAAGATTCTGCATTAATCATTTTACACCTGAAAGCAACAACTCTATCTATCTTCTATACTATTATAAAAACATGAAACTCCAACAAGAGATGTTGATTGACTTTCTTATCCTTCGTAAGTGCATTTTTCGTTGGACAAAATTGTAATTATAACTAATATTAAAAACTTCATATTTCCTGTTTTAATTGTTTGGCCTTTATATTTTTAATTAATTCAAAGAACCTCATTGCTTCCCTGTACGGTTCTCCCAAGTTTGCATTAGAAATGAAAACCCTTCCAAAATACACACTTTCTTGTTTCTCTAAGTCTTAAATTAATTCTTATATAATATGAACATTCAATTAAAGAGTTTAAGTTATATGCACTATCAGTGTAAGGAATTTTCACACCATCAAGTCACTTTTACTTGTTGAAGCAGGTAACTTATCTTATTTTCAGGATTACAAATCTCACATTTTAAGGAGACTTATACGTAGATATTCTTTGAGTGATTTGATAGTGTAAAACATTCCTTGTATCGGTGTATATAACCTAAACTTCTAAATATTATTGCTTTGGATACAAATTTTGCGCTAATTATCATGAGATGTGCAGTGCACGTAAATAGAGACTAGTATATTATAAAAAGAAAAACCAATGAGAAAATTAAAGTAGAAATAACAATAGTACTACAAAATGAGCAGAAGGTACTTGCTAGTAGCACGAACTCTGCCACGTTTGCGAATGGATGCGAGCTCTTCCATGACCATTTCGACGAGGTTGTGAACTGAATAGCTCCGAACAGTGACGTGGCTAAGAGGATAAGGCGTACAACGGAGAAATGAATGTAAATTCAAATGCTTTCTACTTCGGGAGGTGGTGAATTGACGGACACAGCATCTGCGTGAGGCGGCGAGCGGTGGCGTTGCGGCGGAACGGAAAATTACGCAGCTGTTCATGGCGCGAAGCGCCATTGGGGTTTGGTTGAAAGCTAGAAATTGGTGGTTGTGATAGTTGGAGATGTCATGTAGCAATTGGGGATTTCTTTTGTTTTGGTTTTAGAAGAGGCTTTTGGCCAGTTCCCGTTACTTGTTGTAAGAGTTATCGGATTTTTGGTTTTACTAGAATGCCCCTGTTATTATGGAAATTTTGTTAGTATCCAAAAATACTTTAGTCACATTCCCTAATGACAGGAGAAATTCAAAAATAGCTAGATTTACGACTGGTCGTTCAAAAATAGCTCAATTTCAAAAGTAATCGAAATTTAGTCACTTTTCATGTAAAGATAAACCTGAGCGAAAACGCTGTTCAAAACCCGAAAAATATGCCAGTATATTATACTGGAGTTCGGAACACCGGTGCTCCAGTCTCCAGTATATTATACTGGAGTCAGCAAAGTATACCGGTCCAGCATAATATGCTGGAGTTCATACACAGGTGCACCGAACTCCAGTATATTATGCTGGACCGGTCTCTGTTGCAGCAAAATAGTGGCTATTTTTCATTGACTTCGTAAACGCTGGCTATTTTTGAATGATCAGTCCTAAAACTGGCTATACCGTGCTATTTTTACCCGAGAAATCCGTCTGGAGCCAATCCTTTGGACCAACCGCAGTCTTCGAAACTAGGTGGATAATGGGTCCGCCCATCTACCCTTCTCCACTTAAATACCAGGCTTTACTTTGCATGGTGTGGGGGCTTGATTATATCAACTATGTTTATGTGATATATTAAAGTAAAGCACATTAATCAACTATAGTTAATTGATAAAACTATAAGGTCTATTTAAAATATATATGTCAGGCAATTGTTAGTTTTGGTATAAACAGTGGATATGAGTAAAAAATTTCATAGTTCACGTATTGTTAATTATTAAGTGATTGTAAAAGCTTACTAGCATTAATGTTTATACTGAACAAATGAATACAAGACAAATATTTTTTATACACAAATTTCTCAGTTAATAGCTATGGTACATATCCTTACTTTAATTTTTAACTACTATTAAAATTACGTATGTTGTGAGTACTTCGTAACAATATGCAGCATGTGTTTTTACTAGAATCAATCATATATATATTCGTTTTTTATTAGAGGAAATGAGTCACTTACAATTTGAATAGAAGAAAATGACCTTATCAGATTTCTTCTATGGTATTTACACCCATAATAATTTGACTAGAAGACAACTATCACTCATATTAATTTTCTAATAAGGTGAGATTAAAACGTAGTATCGTTTCTCCAAAAAAGAAAAGCTTGAAGTTCTATGGTTCCTTAGCAAATCCATTCTGTTCGTTTTGTAACAACCTTAATCTATGGTCAAATCTGTAATTATGTTACTCAATTTTGCTATTCTTTTTTTTGGAAAAAATAAAATCCCGTGATAAATATATGCTTCTTCTTGCAAGGTCATCTCCAACCTTGCCTCATCCCCCATAATGGGGGAAATATTCGAGGGAATTTAGTTCCAACCCTCCCCCATTTTTGTCCCCAAAATGGGGGATGAATAGTGTTCCCTCAAATATGGGGTACACTATTCATCTCCCTCATTACTATTCATCATTTTTTTATTATTATTTTATTATTTAATCTTTTAATTTATCTCTTTATATATACTTAATTAAGTTTATGTAATGTATTTATAATATTAATATTATATCTTAACTTTGGTGTATAATTTTGATAAATAAATTTTCGTGCATATTATTTTTATGTAGAAATGGCAGTAGATGAAAATGAACGATTTCAAGAATTTTTATTTCAACATAGAAGAATTAAGGACAAAGATGCTCATTTTGCATTTCGTAATGCATTAGTAGATCATTTATGGGAGAATACTAGAGGTTGAAATTGAATATTTATCTAGTATTTCGAATGAATTTTATCGTTATGTAATATGTATTTAATTAATCTTGTATCACAATAATTTCACTTTTATTTGAATTATTAGTTAATCTATAATAATTGCTTACAAATTATATTATTTAAAATTTTATGGAATTGTTTTAATTATGGAAATTACAAATTAATAAAAATAAAAGATGGAATTTGTTTAATGGAAATTAAAAAATGAAATTGAAATGAAAGATAATAATATAATATAGAAGAGAGAGAAGAATATAAAAAAGTTTGGGGAAAAATGGGGGAATGGTTGGAGTAAGTTGTCCCGAAAATGGGAAAATCCTCATTTTGAGGATTAAAAATGGGGTAAAAGTTGGAGATGCCCTAATAGCAACCGATGTTAAACTTAAAATACATGTTATATTAAAAGAATTAAATAAATTGTCAAAAAGAGAATTCAATGTTAGAAATAGAAGTTTATGCTTGTAAGACGCAGAACAAATGAAAAGCGACTTTTTTTCTCAAGCTATACAAGATTTTGTTTACCGAAATTCAAACCATAGATTGTTCCTAACAGGACATCGCAGTAGTTGAGAACGCTCATTTTAATTTTAAATCGCAATAACCTGTAATAACATATAGGTAATATGTTCGAGTCGCGGAAACAACCACTAATACATTAGGGTAAGGCTGTCTACATCACATCCCTTGGGATGCGGTCCTTCCCTGAAGGTGAAATGTCTTGTGCACTGGGCTGCCCTTTAATAAACTGTATAACATGAGTTCAAAGTTCAATGAGCCTTGGAAAAATTCAGCCACCTTTCAAATATCAAATGTGTATATTTACCATATATAAGAATGTTCTCCAATACAAAAACAATCGATCAAATGTGATGTATAGTTTCTAAGAAATGTATAAGCTGAAGCAATAACTATGGCCGTAATGGAAATGGCATCAATTTACAAACGAATTGTAAGTGATGGCTAATCAACGACAGAGCTGACTGCACAGCCCCTGGATCTTAGACGTACTTGGATTCGACAAAGAATATGATCTTGTTTTGTTGCTATTGGAGCATGTCAATGTAAGCTGGTTATCTGTTTGCTCAGACTGCAAGAACGAATCGGAAAATGAAGTTCAAATTTACATCCCTAACCTAAGTTCTGTAACCATGGAATCGGAAAATGAATTGTTTCATGTCACGACAGTGAAGGAGCTGTATTGAGATTCGTGGAATGAGAAATTCAGTAGCTACTTACCATACAGGAAACAGGCTCTGAGTTACAACTCCACCTTGAAGTGGGTACACAGCTCATATAATGGCACCAAGAACAATGATCGTTCAAATCTACTCCGCGGAGAAGCATGACCAAGCCACTAGTGAACCTGCACCAAGGAGAATCCACTACTGAGATAACTAAGTTCATCAAATTCAGAATCTTCTTTATCCTAAATTTATAGTTTAAAGGCTATGATTGTCAAAATCATGGAGACGAAACCATGAACTGATCGATAACAGAAGACCAGAGTAGTGGGACCTACATCCTACAAATAACATGTCACTTAGATGTTCAAACTAGGCACATTATGGTGACTGTAGTTGCTTGGCAACAATTAAGTGCTTCACTAAGCCGAGACCCATCGATCAAAAGGTAATCAAGAAGTATCAATCAAGTCCTGGAATGAAAAAAACTTAGGTTTTTTTATTATTAGTAAAACGAAAACAGCTTAGTTTTATAAACATTTAAAGGCATATGCCCCAAGATTAACATAGAGAGACATGCAACGGGGTGCTCCTCCTACCAACCACTATGTCCGTGCTATCACAAAACTAAGTGGGCGATCCCTCAACCTGCTAGCTTATTGGGCTAAGTAATAAACTCAAATCAGCACTCCGATCTATCCAGACTTTGGTACTCAAAACTCTTTATGAAGTCACATCGTGGTTCTTGCAGAGTTAGTAACATAAGCTTCATCTAATCACTACTACATGTTACTTTCTCACTCGACTTAAGCACCCATTAAACCATAACAAATAGCATATATGACAGCACCAACAGTAGAAACTTGTCTAGGATTGAGATTCTTCTTATTTTCTTCTTTTTTGCTTTTAGTATGTCAAACTGGAGTAGAAGCCAAATAAAAGAGATGACAAAATGCCAAAAAGAAAGGACTGGTGAAATAAACAGTTAAAATGATATAATAATGCAAAATGTGTAAATTATTAAATTCACTGTAGTTTAACACCTCCACCACCAAAGAAAGAAACATAAAGAGAAAAGGTCATTTTTGGCACTTCTTCTGCAGCCTAATTAAAACATGACAGCACAGGAAAAACAAGGTAGAAACTTACCCGATTATCAGAAGAACAAGAGAAATAACCCATAGGACCATCTGATACACCTTGAATTTAGGTTTAGCTGATGTTGAAGAATATCCACTGGATGCATATCTCTGACTCACCCAACCAAATTGGGGCCGAATCAGAAACACGAAACCGAGAAGAAAACCAGACATAAATCCTCCAATATGAGCGAAGTTGTCAACATGCGGGAGAATTCCGACTGCCAGATTTATAACAATGATGACCACAAGAGTCACTAAAACTGCGAGCTGCAGAAAAGGGGAAAACAAGGAGCCAAACGGCTTTATAAGATGATTGGTTCTCAATCAAGTGATCAGCAAGCCTACCATTAATGGCAGGTGTGAACTGTGATAAGAGTTGTTCGATAAATACCTTATTGGCGTATATAGTCCAATTGATTATCAGCTCAGAAAGCATGCTTCCCAGCAACCCAAAAAGTGCACCAGAAGCACCAACAGATATATTTGACTTAATAAATAGAGCTGAGAACAAGCTGCCACCAAGTCCCGCAATGATATAGAGCAGGCCAATGCGTACTACGGAACATAATAAAGAAAAATAAGCCACTGCATTCAGCTCAAACCATATCAACATGTATATAAGCAAAAAATATAAAATGGATATATTTAATTGACTGCAATCCACCTCTATTGAGAACTGCAAAGAAGATGCAAACCATCACATAAATCTTTTAAGCAAAAAGGAAAAAAAGAACAAGATATAACTACCGGAGACTTGAGTATCTAACAGGACAAGGCCAGACTACTGATTTAGGGAATACTTAATTCCATAAATCTCAAATGTGATAATTGAACTGAATCCTCTTGTATAAATGGACATCAAGGGATCAAACGTTATGTACGTAATGCAAATGACAAAATAGCACAGTTTTGACGATTTTATATCAGCACATTCAGATAAGAGCTTCTCCACTCAATTGGATCCATAGTTGTTCAGCAGCACCCTTTTACTGCCAAAATTTTTAAAGGAGAAGATAATATTTTTAAAAAAAGGGGGAGGGGGGGGGGGGGGGGGGGGGATGTTAATTAAGAGTATCTATCAGAGTATTCCCAGATATTCCATATCCTTGTCCCATGCTCCAGTCAGTAGTCAACAACAACAACAACAATAACGACCCAGTATAATCCCACAAGTGGGGTCTGGGGAGGGTAATATGTACGCAGACCTTACCCCTACCCCGAAGGGTAGAGAGGCTGTTTCCAAGAGACCCTCGGCTCAAAAAAAGCAACAGGAGCCGATATATTAGTACCATAAAAATGCATAATAAAATAACAGTAATATAAGAGATATGAAAAAAGCTTCAGAAGGATTTCCTATTGCATGCTTCAAGTGGGACAGGAAATTTCACTTGGTAAATAGGGAGACGGTCACAACATGAAAGTGTTGGGGTGGATTTGGGATTAACGATCTAAGGGTTTTAACAAGGTGTTATCAGATAAGTGACTGTAAATTCAGGATAGACGCGAATGCCTTTTGGAGGGAGGTGATCGCAGAGAAATAGGGGATCTTGAAAGAGGGATGGAGAAGTAAAGATATCACACCTCCTTATAGGTGCGGAGTATGGAGTAACATCTAGAATGGGTGCGAATAATTAAATGGGAATGTATCATTCAGCGTGAAAGCGATCGGAGCAAGGTAAATTTTTGGGGACATACGTGGTGCAGGAATAGCACCTTGAGAACCACATTTCCAAACATGTATAGAAATTCATGCCAAAAGAAGATATTAGTCTAACAGATACGGAGTCTACAGGGGGGAGAAGTGCATTACAATTTTAGGTTTAGGAAAACCTTGCACGACTAGGAGGTTGCAGAATTCCTTAGTTTGATTGAATTGCTTCACAATCAAAGTATTTCACAGGTTACCCATGATGAATGGAGACGGGGGGAAAGCAAATAATTGTGTCTTCTCTGTTAAGTCCTATTAAGAGAAGCTTCTGAGTAGGGAGGATTCAACTTGCCTTCATCTCTCGATATGGACCTCAAGGGTACGGAGAAACGTGTGTTTTTTAATTCCCTAGCTGCACAAGGGATGATTTTGATAGCTGAGAATTTGAGGAAGAGAATGATTACTTATTTCAATTGGTGCTTCATGTGTAAAAACTCAAGAGAAGACTTGAATCATCTTATTTGAAAGATTACGTATTTCAATTGGTGCTTTGTTTGTTGCGGAAAATACTGAGATGGTCTGGACTTTAGTGGATGATGCCCGTCACTGTTAATGTTTAGCTGGATTCTTAGAAGATGGAAGAGAAGACGCAGAGCATGGGATATTGCTAGCACTAATGTAGATCACACGGAGAGAGGGAGAGAAAGAAAGAATAGGAGATCTTTTAATAGAGTTTAATAGAGTAGAGAAGGATTTTGTACACTTGAGTAATAGCATCTTATCCCTTATTTCTTTTTTGTGCACCCACGAGGTCCATATATGTATAGAAGATTGAGTGGCATTCATAAAAATACATTTTAGTATTTTACAAGGTTTTTTATCTTTTGATATACTTCTTGAATACGGTTTCTTTTTTCCCTTCTTTTAGTGAAACTTTTTAACCTTTATTCAAAAAAATGTGAGATGCAATGTTATCAAGTCAACAACATACTAAATCCAAGTGAACATTTCAATCTTTTTTACTGATACAGTGATACGTAGGTCTTAGATTCTGCTTTTTCCAACTTTAATATCAGCTAAGAGAAGCATGAGCTTATAAATCTCGTGACTAAAAAATGAATGAAAGTTGTAGCAAATAAGTCTTAGTTTCTGGAATCTTAGTACTTCTAGAGATGCAACATAACATCAATTGTGAATCTGCAGCAAGATAAAAGTTTTAAGGACTTCGATAGGAGCGATGTGTAGCAAAACCGAAATGTAAATGCAGGTAAGAGCTCTGAAGATTTATAGGAGTGTAACACATTACCAAATCCAAACTCTCGCTCCAGCCGAATGCCAATGACTATCAGACTCAGCATGTTGGCCAGTAAATGAAAAACTCCACCATGCAACCACATGCAAGTAATAAGGCGCCACCCTTCATGTCCGTGGACCACCTTATTCACGTCTAAAGCACCCATCTTCTCTAGTCTAAACAAAAAGGAAAAGATAAAAAACTTTTTACATGTGATGTTGATATTTATATGTTCCAATGTAGCTTACGTTTAAGCACAGAGAATTGATTTACTAGCCTAGAAAAGCAACAAAAAAAAATGCCGCAAACTCATTCATCAACCTCAATGCGGTAAAAGATCAACAAGTTTCAGAAATTTGATCATCAAATATTAAAGTGTATGACTAGTCAAACGTACCGGCTCATAGGTGGCGTGATGATGATTACATGTAATAAAATAGGATAAGTTAGACCTATAATCACATGAAGGGAAGTTTTACAAAAAGACCTACAATCTCTTGAATCCATGCAATTTTAAACACAATGGAAGCGAAAAACCTGTATAGTCAATACCGATTAGATTGGGTTAAGGTTTAATTGCTATTAACACACAATAATTACGGTGTTTGACATGAGTTTTTTTTAGTTTGGTTAGAGATTGCACGACACTGCAGGGATAGGTATGAAATTTAAAGAACATCTCGGTTTAGGAGAACCCTTAATATTGTCCAAGAAGATAATTTTTCTCTCATCATCCCATTGGGATAGCCAAAGCTTTCTCTCATCATCTGCGGTCTAAGAATTCCTCATTTGATGCAGTCCACAAAGGGGTCGTCATTTTACCTGGCCTGCTGCTCATAAGGTTATCTTCATACAAGGAAAAAACCTCCATATGAGGTGAAAAATTTGCCAAAAGATGTTGCATGTCTAACAAAGAGGAAGCGCCAGCTTGGGTCGGCATTTTCTTTTTAATTTTTGCTCTTTCTTGGTACAATATGAAGCTACAAAATTAAGTGCAAACTATGGAAAAACACTTGGTACAAGATGAAGCTAAGTAAACTAAAGCACAATTATGAAAAAACAAGCTCCTCGTAGCTTGGTCTGGATCCTTGCAAAAAGCGGGACAAAAGAATGCCAAAGAGATACCAATACAGCATTGACGGCAACACTGAAGAGCATGTGCGATTCCCTATTTTGATCCAGCTTACTTTCTACACCTCCTGTGTTCCTAATTCAATCTGTACCAATAAAATCCTCTTCCAGTACCCCAGCAGAAGATTTGGTAGTCAAACCTCACAGGTTAGAGTGATGATAACCACCCGCCCCCTCTCCCCTTCTCTACATAAACCCATCTAAATAAAGCCTACCGTAGTGCCCTCTTGACTACTTGATCAAAAAAGGCACACCTATAATCATATTGAGTATTGCCTCATCTTATTCAAGCACAAACAACTTAAGCTCGACCACACCTATAAGTGAATACAAAAAACTTCAACTTGTGATAAAATTGACCCTTCCAACCATGGTGGAGCCATGAATTTATACAAGTGTATTCAAAAAAGTTTTATAATGTCACACATGGTATTTGAACCTATGACCTAAAGAAATTTTTGAACCCCTTTGTCACGGCAATAGAACCTTCTCTTATGTCAAACGGGATTCAACAGTTTATATACATATAACCAAAAAGTTCTTTTTTTCCCTGTTTACACAGCATAATTTTCCAAAGAAAATGATTCAATTGAACCCCCTTGGCTTTAAATAGCTCCGCTCGTGCCTTTACAAGCTTCCCAGCCCATCCCTCCCTTAGGCCGTCATGCTGTACCTCCACTAATTAACTGGGTAACCTGCTACAGCTCACGACTATAGGTGCTGGCAAACCTGCACACCAACTCAAACTTGGAATCTAAAGGTTTTCTTTTGTTGTTGTTGACAACGGAGAAATCCCTAAGGGCCAGTGGCACAAGGTTCCAAAATAGGTAGATACTGGAACCATGCCTTTACCCATCTCCGCTTAAACACCAGGCTTTTATCTGCGCGGTCCAAACCTGGACACATCATGAGATGTGCTCTTACCACAAGACCAAAAACCTAGGGGCAACCTAAAGGTTTTTCTCCTATCCCTTAAAGACAGGAGCATAGAACAAAGGGCAACCCAGTGCACTAAGCTCCGGCTATGTGCGGGGTTCGGAGAAATGCCGGATCACAAGGATTTATTGTACGCAATGTTAGCCTGCATTTCTGCAAAAGGTTGTTTACCTTCTGGTGCAGCAACTTTACCAGTACACCAAGGCTCTCTTCAAAACAGGGGCATAGAGTACACCATAAAACAGAGAGATTTCATAAACAAATACTCCATTGATTATCAACTTAAATAAAAAAAAAGGGATAAGAACGGGATATACATACGTGTTAGAAGAAGGCCCAAGAAGAGGATTTTCACTGAAAGGCTGAAAGGAAAATCTACCCAAGAATCCAGCAACACAAGAAACAGAGTTGTGGGGGCAGTTATTAACATACATGGTCACAAAAAAAGTCACCACATTGGCTATAACGAAAGATGGTATCAACCATGGAAACCATTTCTTGAAATGCTTAATTTCTCTATAGACAACAGGTGGTCCTCCTCCTGCTGATGTTCTTGCTGGCTCTACTGGGTGTATTGAGTTACCCCCTTTCTTTGAATTGACCTGGATTTGGATCTCCGGTACACTTCCGGCCATCTCGCCGGAAAATCAAGAATGCTGGCTGGAAAATCAAGAATGATGAGTTTTTGAAGAAAACTAAGGGGATGGGGTGGGTGAGGGAGGGAGTTAACGTGGATTGGGAGAGAGGATAAAGTCAAGTCTAAGGATTAAAAACTGATTGATTGATTCATACGAAGATGTTTTTGCTTTCTTTGCCGACGAACTGTAGTTTCCCACACTCCTCCTTCACCTTTTGTACTCTTTGTAAATTTCTTTTTTCTTTTCTTTTATTTCTCTCTTTTGTCCCTATTGCCAACTTCTTTTATTGAGGTAAATAATATTTTACACTCTTACATCACCAAATGATATTTACGAGTAAGTATTATTATAATAAAATTATATTTAAAAATAAGACAAGTTATTTGTTATAATATGTTTACGTGACCTCATGGCTAATGTTATAAAAATTACTTACATATTGATTTGGTATAAATTAATAATGTAATCTGATTTCCTAATTTGATTTTTATGAATTTTTAAAATTCTGAATAAGAAAAATGAAAGGGAATTAGTTTGTGGCTGACGATTTAGTCCGAAAGATTTGATAAATCGGAACTCATTTCTAAAGTAAAACTAGAGTATTAGATGTAGCTTTCAAGAGACACTACTATTAGTATCCGCGCGGATGCGCGGACACTAATCATATCAAATATTTAAGTTATTTGGATTGTATGTAAATAATCTTAAAATTTATACTTTCTACGTAAATATAGATAATCACTATATATTAACTACATGAAAAAAATTAACCATTTCTTCTATTTTTCTTTTTTGATATCATTCTTGCCGGTGTCATTGGATCCTAAAAATAGTCATGAAGCAAAATAATAACTCATATTTATGGCAAAATAATTAAATGTTGAGATAATGAATGACTCTTTGGATAAGACTTAACTCTTTTACTACTGCTTGAACTATTATTTAGTGTGTTGATATCTCTTAAAAATATTTCTTTCTTAAAATTTCAGTTTCTAAAACATTATTCTTCAATAATAATTATTTTTATAATAATTTAATTGAAAATATTATTCTTAATTCAAAACTCATTTTAGTTGGCTATCTAAAAATATTTAAAAAAAAATCTTTAGCTAGTGAATTTTTTTTTACTCCATTTTGATATTTGACACTAACCATGTTAAATATCTGAGTTATTTGAAGTATATGTAAATAACCTTAACATTTAAACCTTCTAAATAATTATAGATAATCGTCAGATATTAATTAAGAAACACTCCATGAAAAAAGACTAACATTTTCTCAATTCTCGTAGTGATAATTTTATTTTTGCACTATTTTCATGTGTGTCATTGGAACTTAAAAATAGCCACAAAGTGAAATAATAACTCATATTTATGGCAAAGCACAAAGGTTTACACGATATAAACGATTCTTTGATTACGACATGACTCATATACTACGACTTGAACTCTTATTTGATATGATTTTATCTTTCAAAATATATTTCTATTTTGAAATTTTAATTTCTAAAAAATTATATATATTATAATAATGGTTATCTTTATAATGATGCAAGTGAAGATATTATCATTAATTTAAAGTTCACTTTAATCGGCTATCTAAAAATTTAAATGATTCTTTGGCCAGATTTATTTCAGTATGACTCCACTTTAAGTTTATCGATATCTCTAACCCCATAATTTGAATTTTTAATACCCTATATATAAAAAAAATTGTTCTTTGAATCATTAAATGTTAAATTAGTTGATTATTATTATTATTATAAAATATTGCATATATATTCTCTTAAAATTGTCAAGTAGTTTATTTTTTGACACCATATTGGCTTAACCTCAATGCAAACTACTCAAATTGCATTCCAATTTAAATTTGAATATCATATCAGTTTGTTAGTAATAGTGATTTTTTAAAAACGATACATAATTTAAAATAAAAAAATATTCTAAGATATCCTTATCTTATAATCTATGTATTTGAGTTGAAAAAAAAATATTTGAAATAGATGAGATTAACTTTCAAATTTTTTATACTCAACAAAGATGAAACATAAGAGGAAATTTGTTGTTATCTTTTATTTCTCGTTTTTAGATCTTTCTAACATTTTTTTTCAATATTTATTTTCTTTTATCTTATTTTTTATGTCATTATTTCTTTTGTTACAAAAAATTAATTTATTTCACTATAAAAGGATTAGTTTTAATAAAAATTGTCTATATATGAACTTTAATTCGATTTTAGTCTTTGGTTGAAGTTATTTCATATTTTTCTTTTGGTTTTATCTAATCAGCCTAAATAGGTGCTCACCCGACCACTTAAATTAAAAAATTAAATGATGTGTAATTTATATATAATCTATATATAATATGTGTATAATCGTGTGTTGTCGGTATATCATCTATTTATACTAGCTATAAAAAGTAAACAATAAATATGGCTGGATATTATGCAAATATTCCATAAGATTTCGGTTTTTTGAGTTTATCCATGATATAACTTCTATTATTATAATTTTAAAACTCTCTATTAATGTTCAAAAATATCTTATATTTTTATTATCTTTGAATTAAAAAAGTAAAGAGTTTTTTCGAAATAATTTGTTTACATTTTAAAAAAAATATTTCATGTCATACCAATTTTTTCTTTATATATACTCTTTGTTACACTTAAAAGTCGCTATAGAAACTATCAATTAGAAACCAATTTATCTCTTGTTGAATATGAGAAAAAAAACTTTTCACATAATCTAATGATTCAAAACTAATATTCTTCAACGAAAAAAATATTATACCCTTGCAATATTGGCTTGACTACAGCTAAATGAAGGGGTTTCAGCTTATACCCTTCAATTCAAATGTGCTAAATTGAAATTAATGATAGCAATTGTATAGCTAAAGTTTTGTTATTTGTTTGANATGTTTCTTTCTCTAGCATGTATGTTTACTTTATTATATATGTAAGTAAACTTTTATTTGGTTTTGTAAACTCTTTTTTGTTATTTAGATAAGCATAGACGTGTACCCTATATATTACATTTATTTTAAAAAAAAATTATTTTATTCAAATCTAGTTACAGTGTTTCAAAGAACTATACTTATAGGATTTTAAATGTGAAAGAGTTTTATAGTTATATGGAGTAGTTTTTTTTTTTTTTTTGCTAGAGGCGAAGTAGTATTTAAATAATTAGGAAAAAATACAAAAGTTCCTAACATGATAGCATATGATCATTAACCGAATTAAGTATAAGAACATGATTAAAAAAGATAAATTTTATTTTTAATTTAAATTCGAATTTTAGAAATTTATGTATAAATTCAAAATTATCTTTTAATTCAAATTTTGTATATATATATATATACCAGTCCGGGTTCTATTTCAGAGTGCGAAGGACGGTGTCTATTTCAGAAAACCAGTTCGGGTTCATGCCGGGGCGATCTACCACAGAAGCTATCCACCTTATTAGGAGGAGGATGGAACAGTACAGGGATAGGAAGAAGGATCTCCACATGGTGTTTATTGATCTGGAGAAAGCGTATGATAGGGTTCCTAGGGAGGTCTTATGGAGCTGCTTAGAGGATAAAGGGGTCCCGGTAGCTAAGACTCAAGTTAGGACAGTAGGAGGCGACTCTGAACACTTTCCAGTTATTACGGGGTTGCACCAAGGGTCTGCGCTCAGCCCATTCCTATTTGCCCT